GCATAAACTCACTTAGTGTATTGCAACGTAGTCATGACAAGGCATACAAGTAAGACCTCAAGACATTCATTTAGCACTGGGGAATCGAAATGGACAATTATAATGTTAGTTTAAATGTTAGAGTCCAAATTTGTAGACTATAGACTTTTACCTTTAATGCGTGGTTTTGGGGAGGAGACTTGACCACCCTTAGAACTGAGAGAAGGTCCCCCAGAGGTAGGGTCCAAGGAGGTTGTTGTGAGCAATATCTTAGCAGGTTCTCAGTCTTCAGACACAGAGTCAGCGATCATTTGATTTGGTCTTCTTCAAAAATGAGTAGAAATCCACAGGTTTATATACCATGTGTGCTGTCATGTTCGACTATAATTGGTATGCTTTATTGCTAATTAAGGGCATTGTTGTATGACATTTATGTTTTGCTAATTTATAGCGATTTGAATTATTGCAATTAGGGCATGACATATTTACGCTCTTGTTTACGACATATCTTTCAAGGCCAAGTTAATTAATTAAAAATGATGGGAATTGTTTAGTGAAATATTTATTTATTTATTTTAGTTTTAATGAAGAGAAGTTTATTTCCTCATAGTCAAAGTAGGCTAAAAGTCCAAATTCAAGGTGTCAGCTCCAGGGGAAGGCTTTTCTCGGCCGTCTCATCAGTGTGCCCCCAGTCTAGGAGCTTCTTGGCACAGGGACCCTGGTCCAAAGGACGTGCTCTGCTCCCAGCACTGCTTTCTTGATGGTATGAGGTCCCCCTGTCTCTCTGCTCCCTTCTGTCTTTTATATCTCAAGAGATTGCCTCAGAACACAATCTAGTCTTGTAGATCCAGGAAATATTTATGTTTTTGCTAATTTATAGAGATTTGATCAATGTTCTATTCCATTATCACAGAGAGCAGGTGCACAGCCCAGTTTAGGGAAGTTATTTATGACATGCTTTATCTATTTCTGAGGTTAGAACAACTTTCTAATAATTTATAGTTAGTGGTTAAAGAGTAGTATAGAAGTATACATGTTTCCATTTCTAAGTTCAGAAATTCTCTATTTCTAAACTTTACATTATAAGTGACTTATACACTGGTGTTTAAAAGCATTATAAAAACATCCTAACAGTGTAAAAAGCATTACAGAAGCATACATAGTAGTGATTTCTGTGATTTGAGAATATTAAAAAAAGTATATAGGACAATTTCAATAGCCAAAAATTTGAAGGAAAAGAAAAAAATAAAAGCAAATGTTCGTCAACAGGTGAATGGATGAATAAAATGGGTTATCCACAGAGTGAAATACTACTCAGTAAAAAAAGAGAGAATGACCTGCTGATACCTGATGATAACTTCCCAAAACATCATGCTGAGTGAAAGAAATTAGACACAAAAGAGTAGGTGCTGTATGATTCCTTTTATATAAACTGCAAATTAATCTAAGTGAGAGTAACAGATCAGAAGTTTCCTGGGACCAGGGACAGAGGGAGTGATGAACTTGTAAGAGGAATGAAGAATCTTTTTGAGTTCGTGGAGTTACTCCATATCGTGATTGTGGCGTTGATTTCATGGGCATAGACATGTTTAATGGCAAGAATTCATTCATTTTCATTGAAGTTTACTGTATGTAAATTATTCCTCAATAAAGTTGATAAGGAAAAAAATGACAATACATTTAAAGCAACTCTACATCTCTTCTGAAGCTTGGTTGGTAGGCTGGTGTTTTTAGTCTTCATGCCAGTTTATATGTGGTGAAAGGGCTTGGAAAACTTTTAGAGTGGTACCAGTTAAAGGGTTGCCACGATAGGATCTTGGGAAGCTTGGAGAGCTTATTGAAGGTAACTCAACAGGACCATTCCCCGATTCACCGCCACACCGAGTTTAACAAGGGTGATCTAACCTTGTTCTCCATTCGTGCTGTAGACATGTTTGAAATTTAGCATTGGCTGAGTTTTCCTCTCCCACATTTGAAAAACACACATACATTATTGTGATTTGCAGTGAATTCAAAGAAATCTTTTGCAACTGTAATGAGATTCAGAGCCTGGAAATTTGAAAGACAAGAATCGTTTTTCATGTAGCCCTACGGATTGTATCTTTAAATGTAGTCTTCTTAATTATATGTACACTGTTGTTTCTGAAACAGCCATGCCATCTTCCTGGCAGGGTGTATTGGTGTCCAGGGACAGGGCTGGCTCACAAGACTTTCCCAGGCCATTGGGCCATTGGAACTGGGTAACTATTTACAATCTGGCCAGCTATGTAAAAGAGTTTCAGATTGTGGAGACAATATGCAAATCTTTGAGTCTTAATTATATTCCCTAATTTCCTTTGGGTTTCAGAGTCAAATGAACTCCCAAA